ACTTCTGGACACGGCGCGTATTATGCTGAAATTTCTCTGTATGGAGTCCCGACCACTGGTAGCTTGAATTTCTCACGTTACTGCTATATGTATTTTTAATAATGTTTTTATATATGGAAATATAAACAATTTTTTTTAAATATACTAATCATATATAATAAATAAATAAAGGAATCTATTAATAAAAAAGACCAGAACGGTCTAATTATTACTCCGAACAGGTAATGTCTAAATACCATAAACGAGCAAACTGTCAAGGATTTGCAGAAGAGCACATTTTTTATAATGAAAGCCCTTCAGGTTTATAAAAATAACTTAAAGTATTCTTGAAGTATTTAATTGTGTATGACAAACGTAATGTTGTTAAGCTTCTTACAAAAGATAAAAGAAAATTCTAAAACGTAGTCTGCGTCAAAAATACTCTAGACCTCAGTCGAGAATTCTTAACACCTACTTTTGAGCCAACAGCCTACACACGATTATACTATTTTCTGACTTATAATAATGACATAATCATTCATTTATTTAAATACGAAAAAGTATTTTAACTTCACTTGGTTTTGAAAAGGCAATGAAGAGCGAAAGAAATTCATTAAAGAATCCATTATTAAGTAAATATTGAGTAGAATAAATACCTTTTAATTAGTTTTCAGAAACGATTATGTGGCACAATTTAAATAAAAAATGAAATCCCTGATTTTTAGCTATTCATCGTCAACAGTACAAAAATGTTCTTAAGAATTTCGTTCTATAAAAACTGAAGAGCTTCTCAACATATTTCTAGAAAAGAAATTGTGTAAAGCTTTTTATTTAATAAAATGTGTGATGTAAACTGCTGTACTTTAAAGAACTGTTAGAGTGACGAATTGTTATTAATAGCAGTAGTTTGGTAGCAGTGCCTAAAGGCATTGTGAAGACCTCGTTTATGTAAGGAGGTACTTAATCATGGACGTACATTAGTAAGTCTGTCGATAAGCAGGTCCTGAAAAAGTATAGGCATCTAATATTTACGGAGGTATAAATTTAATTTCTGGAGTCTGGAATTGTGCCCGGTATATGGCAATAGGCTCACACCCTATTACATGGGATTCATAACATAAATAGTGAAAAGTGGGTGGTACATTGTCAGTGGCAGAATGTGCACGTCTGCCTACCACTTCGGGGATAAAAGGCGTGATTTTATGTTATGTTATGTATAAATTAAAGGCATATTCAAAATTATTCATTTTAAAACATACTTAATATGGTTTAGCTCAGGAATATAAGTGTTAAAACATAATAATTATATTATGTTGCAATGTTATTTATTAGTTAGGCTTTTGACAGATAAAATAACGATGTCAACTCATTACTAAATATACAGAACAAAACAAAAAACTTTCTTTCAAAGACTTCGTTTCTTTATGATCTTTCTTCTCTTTGATATTATTTATTAGATAAACCACTCTAGTAAAAATATTGTGTACAAACAATTAATCGAAAACTATATTACACGTGGATCCATAATCGACATTCGGGCGTTGTTGAGAACGAAGACACAGGAAGGTTACCCAAACCCCCAGTTTCATTGTTAAGTTACAACCCTACTCAGCCCTATTCTATAGCAAGGAAACAATAGCTGATCATAAGTGGCAATTAACCAAGAAGAACTTTATAGGAAACGAAGGTTCTGACCACGATCTATTAGAGAGGAATTCTTTATTCTGAATAAGATTTTAGTAATCGTCACAAGGTCACGTTTGTTTTTTCGAAGATTGCCCATACACTGACCGGATTGTAGGAAGGAAATGTGAGACTATGTTCTCAGCTATCTTTTGATTTCATGTCAATTTATCTGCTTACAATATACTGCAAGTTACTTCTAATATTTTGAAATTTAAAAGATATTATATTTTTCCGAACACGTCCTTTATTTTTTAAGTGTATAATAATAATATTTTTAATAATAATTTAAAGTGTAAAATCTTATTAAGTGTTTCCAGTATTTTCCAATAAAATATATTTCCAGTATATTTTGATAAATTGAATCAACATCGCGTTCAGCTGTCGTTCGATCTATTAGATCATTAGATTCACGTAATATTCATAGTTCCTCGCTTCACTTCGACTTTTATATCGAAGTTAGAATCGAATTTAAGGTGACGACTGCAAATATAAACCAAATAGAGATTTGCAGACTCAATCAAACTTCTTTAAGTTTCTTAGCAATTTTAATATTTTACAATTGGAATACTTTTCAGTTAAAAATATCAATCTTATTTAATAAAGTTTTTATAAAAGATAAAACCTACTTCATACATTAAGGAATATCAAGTGTGATATCCTAAAGAGGTCTAAATTTTTTTATTTCACAGATTTAATTTATTTCACAAATCAAACAAATCTATATCTACCTCAAAGATATCATGAAACGCGGGATAAAAAAAATGTATATGTAGTGTAGGTAGATACTAAAAATAAAAGTGTCAAATTTGAACATCCTAATATTTATTTTTCCACCCATCCACCCAAGCTTGGTGGGAAAGTTTGACGTTTATTCGCTAATAATTGTTATTTATGTCAGTGGTTTGATTCTCAAAAAGAAAATCTATTTTTGTCCCCAAAATGACATAAAAGCAAACCTGTACCTACGCGAATTTTCCACGTGGTACTTTATAATGTTGCTTGGCTTTTGTTCTATTTCTGGAATATTTCGTTCTAGACATTTATAGAATGCTAGCTTCTGCCCGTGACTTCGTACGTGCTATCCCGTTTTTCCCGTTCCAGTAAGATTTTCGGGAAATCCTTGTGTAAAAAGTTTCCTATGTCCGTCTCCTGCTTTTAAACTTCCTACCAATTTTGAGCCAAATCGATTCAACCTTTCTTTTATGGATCTATACGGATTATTTTTTAACAAAGAAATGTTGATCCGAGAAAAACAATAGCGGCTTATACAATACTTTGCAAACTATTATCTTTCCTAAATAACAATGAATAATTCAAATTCATTCCGTAATAAATTCAAGTTATATAGCCTATATAATATGTATATATTTAAGTTATAATTATTACATATTTTATTTACCCCAATATGACAAACAGATCTGATAAAATCAAATTCGAACAATGCGGGCTCAATACAAGGTTGACATTCCATTTTATACGCGACCAATAACATTAATTCATTTTGGTTCTCCTGTGTCACGATTTATTTAGTTGTCATGATACTTTTAACTTTATTATGAAAGGGGTCAAGGTCTATTTTCTTATGATCCTATTTTCTTTTGTCGACATTTGAGTTGACTTCTGTTTGATAAATTGTGGTCGGAAGTTTGGACAGTACAGCTTTTGTGTTATTGCTTTTTTTTGGTCACACTTGACTTCCATGTTGGTTTATATAGTATTTGTAGTTTTCTTTTCTAGTAATTTTATTTAGTAGTGTAAATCAGGATATAGAGTTTCATGAAGAATAAATTGAAATTCAGTTACGGTTTTAATAATAAAAATACTTAGTAATGGATTTACATAACATAACATCACGCCCTCCATCCCCGAAGGGGTAGGCAGAGGTGCACATTATACTACTGTACAATGTAACTTTCCACTATTATTTATGTTATGAGTCCCATGTAATAGGGGGTGAGATGAGAGCAATGGATTTGAATAAGAAAAGTATCGAGGGTCTTGAACCAAACTCGGTTGTATATAAATTCATTTTTGATGACAATGAACAATTATGAAATTTCATCAACTGTAAAATATTCAGTTTGATTCGGATTTTAATTAAAACTACAACAATGTTTACTATATTCAACTTGTTGTATACAAATATTTTTGTATTTTACATTCATCCGACTTTTGCAGACTTTAATCAAACAAGAGTTCTGAGTTTTAAAAGAAAAATAATAATAATTTCTTAGAGAAATTTAATATAAAACTACTTTGTATATGTATTAAAAGATTTGATGGCGATCTATATTAACAACAGAGTTTTTTGCACCAGTTAAAGTTATTTTTTGGCACTCAAAGTCTTGTACGTCCAATAAACTTTGCGAGAAAGAAATTTAAACAATTGAATAATTATAACCATAACATCATTCCACGTGGGAGGCCATGCCAACTTAATCAGAGTAGTTATATGATCTCATAAAAAAGAGACGCAAACATAATTTGTGTTGTATTTTGCCGTTTGAATGAAATTACCGTAGACACAATTCTCTCAATAGACCGGCAACACACTTGTGTCTTTCTTTCTTTCTTTCAGAGGATTTTGCTGATATCTATGAGCGGCGCTATTACTTACTATCTTTATCTTTAGAATGATTATCTAGCTTGAGTACCAGATTGGGGATGATGACAGGGTATGAAAATTAAAAATATAATTAGTCCGTAAGTTAGGTAATGAAAAAATATTAGACACGTATTTTTTTATTTTGTCGTATAATAAAACAATACTTAGATAAAACGAATCAAAGTTTAGGAGTGGGGGCTTAAACGTCATTCCTTAGTATAAAATGTACTGAGAAGTGACGTCACACGACATTTCAAATCAATATATCTTCGAAACTATTCGTTTCTGTGAGAAAATAAAAAATACGTGTCTAATGTTTTTAAATAATCTATCAGACGGACATTATAATAAAAATTAGTCGTCTACCCCAATGGGGTAGACGACTAATTTTTATTTTAATTTTTTTTCAGTTTTGACGTTTCAAATGTGCCTAATTAACGATTAACTAAAATAAATGTTTTTAATTTTACCATCGAGATATCCGTTCTCTTTTTAAACTCCTATCCTATAAAAATGTCGCGGAGAACCAAACGGGTCACCGGGGCTGCGGCTCGACGTGCAGGAGAAGGAATGGGGTGGTTTTTAGTCAGTAAGAGTCTGACACTTCCTCCCGCCTCACCCAGGCGGGAGCAGTCATTCGATGACTTTCCCCCCTTAAAAAAATCCTATAAAAGTTCTTAAAAAATAAACCTTACCATCATAATAAATCCCATGAGGACATTTAGGGCAGCTAGCAAGCAAATGCGGTCTCTGCAACGGGAGGTCGTTGTACATCCGATACGACGAGCGCTGCCATTCGCTTACTGCACTGCCTCTTGAGTTTCTGAGTTCCTCGATACCTGTAGAGACGTATACTTCAAGGGGATTATTGTTGAAGTTTTCTTTCTACTATAAAATATAGGGACAGTGCAACTTTAGTCCTAAATGGTTGTCAGCTAAAGTGCAAAATCTAATAGCTACCTTCATATATATTTTATATACCTTCATAATTAAACAGTGATTGTAAATTGTAATGAAACTAGATAACTCGATATAACTAGAAGAAATTTTATATTATTTATTTTCTTCGAAGTAATGTTAGAAGAAAGAGTAAATAGTCTAAGCGATCTGTTTAAAAAATTATTGATAAATAGCACGTTTATTTATTTTAGGGATCTTTCAAAACTATCTTCTTTTTACATACAAACATAGTTTAAGCCTGTATTTAATAACCTTGGAACTGAATTTATTATTGTTTATCTACTTCATTAGATATGAAGACCACACCACAGGCTTCTTACTATAATTATTTGATAGTCGACTGCGTTTATAAGCCAATGATGTAAGAAAACTAATAATGTGTGTTCAAAAGCGGTTACTTGATTAACCACTAATAATATTGTGCGTAAGTACTACAAGAATAAAGTTCAAAGTAATGATAAAGTTAAGGTAAAGTATTTAGATTCTTAAATTCTGGAATGTTTGTTAAATGTTATTATGTGGCATGTTCTTTCCTTCACATTCTTTGTATGTTTAAAAAACTTTTCCAAAGTCACAATAACGTTCGTTTCTGTGCCTGCTTATCCTAAGAAAAGTAATTTAGTATCTATTGCCTTCTACGAAACGACCTTAAAAGTCAAAGTTAATTTTGCGAATCAAGCCAGTACCATTCTTTTCAATTGCTCTTTCCTTTTTTAAGAAAATTTTTTAAGTCTACTTAAAAAACGAGTAGCATACACATAAATAAATTATTACTAAGCTCTCACTTCAATAACACACAATTATCGATCCTTAATAGTAGCATGTTCATTGATTTGTTACAGTTCCTTTCCAGATACAATTTTCTCGACCCAATATTTCATACTTACAGAAATAGTATCCAATTCTTATCCCCAAAATTCTAGGAATGTATCTAAGATATATGAGCGTGGTCTGCTAATTTGATCATTGAAGGCAGCCTACAAGTGCCAAGGGACCGACAAGGATCAGATATCATATTTAGGGCCGAGGATATATCATCTGAATCTAACTGTATCCTTAGGGACTTAAGCTTTATTTTGGATCGAAAATCTGTCCAATATAATGTCTGATACACTTTTATACCCAGTATCATACATGTAAGGATTTATCAGTGATTCTGGAGGTTCGGAGAAAAACCAATATTGAGTATTCTTTGAAGACGGAGATTAGGAACATTACTTAACAGATGTTCTTTTTATACGAATCGTTTCTAGTTTATCTTGTCATAAGACTACCAAGGAAATTCTGGAGTCGAACTCACGATTGGACGTAGTTCATTGTGCTTATAGATATTTGAATGAATTTCAAACGTACGCATTGTAAGGAATATTATTTTGAGACCTTCCTATATTTAGAGTATTCTATTCTATTACATAAAATCGTATTTATATACACATTTATGTATATGAAATAAGTTATCTTTTTATGACTAAAATTGAGTGCTGTCATAGAAGGGTCTAATAAACTTGTCATGACAAAATGTATTCTAGTAACAGCATCATAAATATTTATATGGCTTGAAGCGTAGTTGGAAATGACTACTAGGTTATTATATTTTCGTAGATAGTTGATGTATTAAGCGCACGACATCATGTCAAAGTTTGGCATCAACCCAATCAGGGAAGAATTTTAATAACCTCATTTATTTCATTAATGAAGTTGTTCTTAATTGTCCTTAAACGAGTTCATTGTAGAAGATTATTACAAAGCTCAATCAAGATGAAAATCAAACGTATGAGTTTGGGAGATCCATGTTTCAGCGGCACGAATGGGCCAGTACGTCTTGAGTGATACCACGGCCTCACAGAAAACCGATGTGATACAATGTTTGCGTTGTATTTCGTTATCTGAGTGAGGTTACTGGAGGCCTTTTAAGCAAATTCCTAAACACGAAAAAGCCGGCAACGCACTTGTTACGCCTCTAGTGTTTGAGTGTCCACGAGCAACGCCGATTCCTCACCATAACTTGGATCCGTCAGCTCGTTTACCGGCTTATCCCCATTAAAAATGTAATCTCATGTTCCATAGATGTACTATTAACTATAGCTTAAGAAACAGTATTCTTATATAAACCATTTTTGCTTTGATTTATTATAAAACATAATAATTTCTACATAAAAGCTTTGCATCTTTATTTCTCAACTTGGCTACAAGACTTCATAATTATGTTTCTCTTTACTTAGTGGTTTTATGGTTACTTAATTCAATCGTTAACAATTTTCCGCTTATTTTGCTTTGCTCTTATAAGAAGTAAAAATAATATTTTCCAAGATATTTTGCTTGTAATTGCACTTTTAGTTTAATTTTACAAAGACGATACCAAGCAATGCTCTCTGATAAACTTAAACCATGAACCTTTTAAACCTTATGACCTCTAACTCGTCTACCACGCGGTAAGATGTTGATGTAGGAAAAGAAACTATTTCTTATTCTTATCCCGTCAAAACGGAGATTAATTTCAGTACATATTTCGACTAGGATTTAAGTTAAGTGATCCAGATTTCTAAGAATTTCAGATTGACTTATACGATTTGAGAGTCGAGTTACATTTAATGTGACTGAAATATGAGACCGACATGATTATTTATGTCGAGTTAGTAGAATACTACTAGCTCTAATTATATTTCTAGGAAACAAGAAAATAACGTCTTTTTAATCCGTATAAATGAATAATCAAAAACAAGAGCTTTCATTTTTCTGACATAGTATTTAGTAGATTGTAATAAGGAGTAAATTCCTTTGTTGGTTACTGACGAAATTATGTTTTAATAATTATATTTAAATGTATACTTTGAATTTGCAACAAAGCAACATTTTTAATTCTTATTGTAGTGTCTCCTATCACAATTTGAAATCGAAATGAAGTCGAAATGAATACAGAATCTTAACAAGATTTGGCTGATTGTCAAGACAAATTGGACCACTCTGTACTTACAGGACGTCCTTTATTTTTATGCCATCTTAAAGATTATTTCTTAAGCAACAAATAAACTTTATGTTACCCATTTAGCATAAAATTTATTTTTCTATTCTACATAACAATAAAAATCCATTAACAATTTTCCTCGCATAACATCTGACACACTTTAACTTGTCAAAAGATAAAAGATGACATTTCGCATCTATGTATCTTTTTATCTTTCGTTTTACATCACATTTCTTTATTAAGTTAGCGTTAAAAATAGCTCAACCGTGGCTTATACGGTTTGTCCTCGACCCATGTCATTTTTATCAGCCCTAACATGTCTACAAGTGGATACGGGTTCTTAACATACATTGTTACTATAAAAAACCCTATTACGTAATGCCATGATCAACTCGACGATGTGAAAGTGGCTTAGGATATACAAACCTATATAATATATAATAGTGTATATTTTCATACAAAGAGGATTTTCCTTAACTACCATCGCTATTGTTTCCAAAAGTCGTGTTTCAATAGTTGCTAAGATTAATATTTTGCTTTATCGTCAACAATGAGTGTCTTGCTTAATAAAATAATGTTTAATAATGTTAAGAATAACGTCTAAAATTGTAATGCCATTGTATACTTGAGTTGAAAAGGTTATCAAACAATGAATATGAACAGGACTGACATTTTATCTTCACTAACTAAGTGAGAGTCAGATGACAATCTGACATCTGACTGACTGACTGACATGAAATCCTAAAGAAATAACATATTATTTTATATTAATAGTACTTGTATAACCTATATAATACGAGCAATATTTTAAATCTAAAATTAAAAAAACGCAGTGCATAATAATGTCAAAGAAAAATAGGTACCTAAAACGTGCAAACTTTAAACGAATGACTGTCGACGCAAATGAATGATACCAAAGATCACTTTTAATAATTACGTTAACGAGTAAAAACCTGATCGGGATCGACTCCCGGACTGTGATATACAGTCCGGTGGGGACTCGGGTAGGGGCCGCTTGCGGCGTCGCAGGATGTCGCGCCAACGGCACAGGATCGCTGTACGGAAGTATGTCCTGAACCTGGTAAAGAAAATGTATAATTAGTGAATTTATAAAATGACATACTAAATTAACTAAAAATCGCGGGTTACTCACATGTATGATGAGGGATTATCAGGGAGGGATCATATATTCACTGATGAGGGAGAACCCCTCTGTGATTCGAAACTAGTAGAACTATTCTCAGTATATTCACATAAGCAACCCGCGATTTTTAGTTAATGAAGTCACCTTAATGTTATTTTTAAATTCACGATCAAATTCTTTTGAACATATTAGATTTCAAACACAAACATCATTATGATCCATCTCGATGTGTCTCCTACTGGACATAAGACTCTCCAATACGCGTAGTGTAGAGTTTATTCAGGTAGGAGAATTGATATGCCGAGTCAAAGTTGCTAGAAGTGGTATACGAAGAACTGCAAAGAACCAATGATCGAGCTCAGTGGCGTACATTCATAATTATTTATTTAAATATGGAATATCAACATCATAAACACAAACCATGAAAGTAATTTGATATTGATAAGAATACTAATACATACTTCGTCTAAACAAAATTGTAAAAATGTTTAAAAAGAAATATTGATTTATTTATTTCAAACTTTATTGCACATACACTGTGAAATTGGCGGACTTAATGCCGTAGGCATTCTTTAACAGTCGACCATCGGGTGGTGCAGAATGAAGTAGATAACAGAAGTTAAGGCAATAACTAATTGTTATAATCAATAATATAACCATGGAAGGTATAGGAACTCACAATAAATTATATAATTAATTTCAATTCTTATAATAAATACTGAATTAATGTTAGTTTATTTTGTACTAGCTATAGTACAAATCTATATCTATTTTAATCCTAACCCTAATCACAACAAAATGAATTATCCGAAGCAATTTGTAAATTATATTTGCATAAAGGTACAAAATTCTAATCTAAACCAATTCAATTGGATTTTTTGAATACTAATCCAATTCAATTAATTTTATAGACTACAAAATGTTGGTTTACAGCCGATTTTAATTTTATACTTTGCTGAATAATCTTTGTTGTAAAACTCGAAGAGTACCTTTTTAAAACCACATATCTTTTATATCAAACATATAGGTACAATTATTTATTGAAAAAAATAGTAAAAATAAAAGTTGACATGTTTCATTTTTACATCGGTATATTGTATATCTGCTCACGACTTCGTACGCGCAATCTCGATTTTTCCCGTTCCCGTGGGGTTTTCGAGAAATCCGTCATATTTACTAAAGTCGTGTTAGTTATACTATTTTAACTCGAAAACGGCTTCATCGATTTGGTTAAATAATGATAAGGACGTAGCATAGACCCAAGAGACGGATATCGAATAAATTTTATAAAAAGATTTTCCAAAAATCTTTCGGAAACGGGAAAAATGGCATTGCGCGTACGAAGTCGTGGACAGAAGCTAGTGAAATACAGAATAGAAACAATATTATTATGCATAAACCTTTCCAGACTTCAAACAAGACTAGAGAGTATATAAAAATATTTAATACCGAGAAATTGATTCAAAATATTCCTTTTATAAAAGGTTACGTGAAATGTCACAGGCTAACCGCTACATATTTGTGTTTGCCGCGTCGGTTTCATGAGAGCGTAACCTACATTTTACTGGTAAATAGGTACATAGGCATGTTAGATATTTTGTTATTAGAATATTTTGCCATATTTTTATTTCAAGTGTACCGTACAAGCATTTTTTCATAAACCTCAATATTTTGCTCGACAAATTTTAATTTTGTCTGCAACAATTTTTAATTAGACTTTTTTTTAGGTTTTGTGTTGGTAATTTTGAAATAACTGCCTGTTTTTTTATTGCATAAGCTGGTAAACGTGAACACCTGGAACACCAGAGGCGTTACAGGTGCGTTACCGGCCTTTTGGAGTTTGAGGATCGTTGGGGATTCAGGAATTGGGGAGATTGGGGAAGGGGAGGGTAATTGGGCTCCGGTAACCTCACTCACACGACGAAACACAACGCAAGCGTTGTTTTACGTCGGATTTCTGTGAGGCCGTGGTATCCGGTTGAGCCGGCCCATTCGTGCCGAAGCATGGCTCTCCTACACTTAAACGCCACACTTAATCCCACACACCCGCCTCTGTTAAAAATATAACGTTAAAAATGTGAATGGGCTAGACGTGACGCTAATTTTATTACTAAAAGTTTGAAAGTAGAAAGAAATTAATTACTTTTACAATCTTGTGAGATAATTTTATGTAAATCTTGTATACAAGGTTATTTAGACTATGTGTTGAACTCATTTAAGGGAAATTCATTGATTTTTTTTATATATAAAGTGATCGTGTAAAAACTTTACTACGATTATTCATATTAGATACACGTACTGTGGCACATCTCAGCATCACCCAATGGTTGATTCTTAAATAATGCCCGGTTTTTAAGTCCACCATCACATTCAAAAGTGTAAATAGTTAAAATAAAATAAATTATCCAGGAATATCCTGATAATTGAAGTCATAGATGTCATCAAAAAACAGTTTTTTAACTAAATTAAGTAAAAACGCGGGTTACTCACGTGAATATACTGAGAAAAGCTCTACTAGTTTCGAACCACAGAGGGGTGATCAGTGAGCTGTGCGACGTCGCCGCGATCGCGCACGCTGCTCATGAGGGAGAACCCCTCTGTGGTTCGAAACTAGTAGAGCTTTTCTCAGTATATTCACGTGAGTAACCCGCGTTTTTACTTAATTTAGTATGTCTCACGATAGTTATTATAAAAACAGTTTTTTAATATCTAACAAATTCGCCTATAATTAAAAAAATAACCTTTTTAACGTAAGCGAGTATTCGTTTGCTCAAGTGTGAATAACTGGCTGTGTACAGAACAGTCTAACTAGAAAGTTTAGTCGTTAGTTTACCTCTGGGGTACAGCCAAAACCTACAGCAATTGAAGTTAGTACAATAACGTACATTTTAATAAACTTTTCCCCAAACAGTTGTATTTGTTAATTATAAATTTTTAAATGAAAATTATAATTATTTTATAAACTATGTTCGAAAACCCGATTTCAAATCTTTTTTTAAATTTGATAATTAATATACTAAAACTTTCTCCTAAGTGTAAAAAAAGTCGCGGAGAACCTAACGGGTTACCGAGGCTCCGGCTCGACGTGCAGGAGAAGGAACGGGGTGGTTTTTAGTCAGTAAGAGTCTGATACTCCCTCCCGCCTCACCCAGACTGTCATTCGATGATTTTCCCCTCGTAAAAAAAGTAAAAAAAACACGTACGTAGTGTTTACTGAATTCTTCTCGCGAGATTCATTATTATCATAGCTTTCATACTAGGTGACATTGAGGACCTCCTTTTTTTTGAAGTCAGTTAATAATACTATGTGGGACTTTAGACATTAAAGTGTTAAACGGTTTGCTGACTGGGGACAAGGAATTGCTTAATTTCAAAAAAACATTATTTAGACTAGTGTTCATTCTCTCGTAAATTGTATTACAACATACTCATTAAATATGACTTCAAAATTTGCAATTTATATTTCGAGTCCTAGAATGATTAGAAATGAGCATTTACAGGATACCAGTCTTATTTATTTATTTTTATTTATTTATTTATTCATGTACAATACACAGAAAAAAAAATATATATATATAACAAAACAGAGGTACATAGGTACTGCATATCCCTTATGGGATTTCTTCCTGCAGCCCTGCGAGAGGAGAAATAAATAGATCATATAAGACAGTGTGTAACAACAAAAAACAAAACAAACAAACAAGAAGAAGACAGTGAAAACTTAAACTAATAATTAAAACTACTTACAGACTAACAAAAATAATACAATAAAAACATACAAAATAAATATAAATAAGTACTTATACATATACTTCCAACAAAATATAGAAATATAATAGATACACATTATTATACATACTATATGTAAATAATATATAATACTATATAATAAGTCTTCGTTCTATTACTATTCACTCATTTAACCCCAACTTAGAAGCCATTGTCTAGATTACTTATTCGATACTATATTCCACGTAGTAACGTAGACTCCAAAACGTAATTCATTCAGCCACTTACATTCAATTGTAGGCTAACATGTTGTTTACAACTCAAGGGGTAAATTTCCAAAACGTTCACGAATAGCGAGTTCATGCAAGTGCAATGAATTTAGCCGCGGGCCGTCGATTCAGCACACACGCCTCAAAAGGTTCCAAATGTATCCAATACAATGATTGAGTGAGTCCGGAAACAAATATTCTCGTTCAATAAACTGGTTCAACTACTTCATTGTTTTATAATCATCCTTAATGCCTTTTTGGTTACTGTTTTATTAGCACTATTTAATTGAAAGTTTTAAGGATCATTTTCCTTTAACACCTTGTAATTTTGGACAGTATTAGGTTGTAGTATGAGATAAACAAAAATATTGTCTAGAGTTTCAGTGAAGTCTTAACTGTGATATCCTAAGCCTAAGCAAGCGAAACGTGTCATATGGGTTTTATAAAAACCCTTTTTAACCTCAGTGGAGGATATTCTTTGATACTCGTAACCTAGTTATTGGTTAAGAATTGAATCGTTTTGCAGATGTAGGCTTGACTTCGTTGAAGATCTTCCTGTTCCGTAGTCCTGAATGTATTTTTCTTGGATCGATCTTCGTCTCAAGGTTTTAAAGCAATTATATGAAATGAAGGCTTAGTTGAAGAAATATCTAAGCATTAAATCGAAATCTATTTTCAACAAGGTACGTAACTCGGCTGTTAATAATGATTTCATTTATAAAGCTTCCTATTAAGGTGTAGTTGCCGCGAAGGACTTAACGGGTTACCGGGGCTCCGTCTCGAAGTGCAGGAGTAGGAAAGTGGTGGTTTTTAGTCAGTAAGAGTCTGACACTCCCTCCCGCCTCACCTAGGCGGGAGAAGTAATTCGATGATTTTTCCCCCCTTAAAAAAAGGTGTAGTTGAGCAAAGAAGGTGCCCCATTTTAAACTACGAATGCTACTTCTCTTGAATTTTTTAAAGATGTTCTTTGGGCCAAACTTGAAGCCAAGAGCTTCAGTTGTCATGTCTATGCCAGTTGCTATGTGTCAGTTCTCTAAAACTGGCATATATCTCAGCATCTCTAAAACAAATGGAAGCCTAAGCCGTATGTCGATGGATAAAAAACAGACGTTCCACGTGTACATGTAACAGTAATATTCAGGAAGTATCGGTTAAAACAATCCAAAATAATTAGGACAATACGAGGAAAACGTTTTATCAACAATGTATTGTATGCAAAAACTCAACAAAAGGATTGTTTAATTTAATTTTATGAATGGCGGTATAATTTAATATCAGTTAAATTTTGTTTACTATACACACTAGAGGTATATAATTATGATATTACTAAAACCAGCACTGTATTTAATATAAATAACAGATGCAACTCAAACTCCGCGCCAAAATGGAAAACAGTTGTGCCAATCTAACAACTACAAAAAAACAAAAATTTGAATTTGGAACCATAAACAAATCATCCAATCCCGATACTTTTTTGACTGAATGTATACCTTTTCAATAATCATTATTTAATTTGCTCGTCCATATATGGCACTGATAACATAACTGGTATATCTGTGTGTTAATATAAGGATATGAACGTTTCGTTACCCCTTGAGGAATTATAAGACGTGGCCTTTTATATGCTACGGCACCACGGTCTCACAGAAAACCGACGGGAAATAACGATTGCGTTGTGTTTCGACGTCCGAGAGTTACTGGAGGCCTAGTTCCTCAGAATCTCTCTAATCCGTGAATCCTCAACAATCCTCAAATTCGTAAATCCCAAAAGGCCGGTAACGCACTTATAACGCCTCTAGTATTCCGGTTGTGCAAAGGCGACGACGATTGCTCACCATCAGATGATCTGTCTGTTCATTTATCAGCTTGTCGCATAAAAAATGCTTAAGTATTTACTAAAAATCATCTTTAAACCAATAGTAACAAGAAATATTTTAGTTAACACCATGAAGAATTGCTTGGCAAAAGAATTTAATCACGATATTTATCTATACAAAAAAGGACCTTAAGATATAAATATAAAAATTTTGGAATTTTTCCGCACTCAGCCCGTTAATGTCTCTTACACGTGCTTGTGCCATAATTGATGACATCTGGTAGGTAGGCGTATTCCCTAATGACTTTCCTGCTTAGCTCGCTTAGAATCTGTGTTTATTTTAGAAAGCAACCGTATTTTCTTTAAACAACTTTCACTTAATTATGAGGAGATAAAAGATACGCTAGTATTATTATAAATATACTATAGGTGACATTTTATCTGCAACGTATCGTACAGTAGCTAAGTTCTTTATTTATTGGATTTTCGATTTTAACTTTATGTAATTAGATTGAAGATGTAATCGAGAAACTTCACGAAAAATGATGGATTGACAAGCTGGCCAGCGTACCTAATCAGTTGCCAAAAATAATAACAAGTTTTATCAAGGAAAACTAACACAAAATAATCAAACCTTTAACATGCAATTTACCATACATCTTTTAAGCATGTAATGTTATTAATTGTTAGTTATTTAGCAAAAATAAAACTATAGGAAAACTACCTATGGTGACATATTGAAAATTGTATGATATCAATTCATATCAATTTTCAATTCTAAGATAAAATTACGTAACGATTTTTTTAAGGAGGGGAAATCATCGAATGACTCCTCCCGCCTGGGTGAAGCGGAAGGGAGTGTCAGACTCTTACTGACTAAAACCACCCCGTTCCTTCGACTTCGAGCCGGAGCCCCGGTAACCCGTTAGGTTCTCCGCAACTCCGAATCGGCATCAGCCCTATTGGGCCATCCATGATGGTTTGATGGCTCTTTGAGGCGCGCATTACGTAACGTTTATCATAAATGGTAAACACTACAAATCAACAATAATGAAAATTTCCACTTGAATAGTTTTATGCGTCAATGGTTTTCTATAAACTATTCCAAGTAAATAATTAAAGGGGATACTAAAGACCATTTGCATTGTTATAACACTATCACATTTCCATATCACTTGTCAATTTTGAATAACAATCCTTAAACAATTCGTCGAATTATTAATTACCAAACCCCTTTACAGTCCCAAGCTTTTGTTTTATAACCCCAAATAGTTCCATATTTGAACAAAGAAATAATAACAGAGTTAACAAGATGATTCGTCTTTTGAATATATTTTGACGTTTGTATCAAATGATGCTTTGTGTTTACAGGTTTACAATTCAATTTCGATTAGCAATAGTATATGTAGGTTACTAGCCAATTTATAGTATATTATTTTAAAACAACAAAATACAAGAAGAGCAAGTTAGTTATGAGTCATTTGCCTTCAAAACACTGTATATTTCTGTAACACAATTAAAATTTCCTTACAACATAAACATAACTTCTGTACAAGTTAACTTATTTGTTGAGTGCAGTTTGGCTCGCAGAGTCTTATTTTAGCATAAGTGACGTCACTTATGCAATTCTGTTGTTAGTTACATAACTAGCAATAGAAAAACCAGAATCATCTACTATATGACTTTACGTAAATTTTTATAGTTAATAGAATTTCACAAAAACCGTTTTTTGATTAAAAACTTCTCATTGATATTAACACAATACAAATCAGAGATCACCACAATGTTAAGCATAGTGATCGATCACTCGGCCTTCGGGTGAAAGAAATACAACCAGGCATTCGAACACAGACATAATTAAAGTAACTAGAACTTAAACTATGAATGAATAAGGACGAAACTTACTTGGCATTCATCCAGTAGTAAATGATGGGATTGACCATCGCGTTGGCCATGGCGAGCCAGTAGAATCCAAGGTACATGTGTTGCACATACTTCATGTAGAGAATCGAAGGGTTGAAGTGTGTGTAGATGAAGTAGCAGTGGTATGGCAGCCAGCATATACCGAAGATCACTATCACTAAGATGAACATTTTCACAACCTGCGAACAAAAGATAAAGTTATATAACTTTACGTGTGTGTTCTGTCTGATTTTTGTGTCGTTTTTTCTGTAGAGGAGTGTGAAAACTGATTCTGCCTCTTTTTTGAAGTGGGACAATCATCCAATGACTTCTAGCGCCTTGGGTGAGGCGAGAAGGAGTGTCAGACTATTACTGAACAATAACCACCCCGTTCCTACTCATAGTCTTCGAGCCGGCAACAGCCCCGGCAACCCGTTGGGCCTTCTGCGCCATCAGCCCAACTAGGCCCCATCTGTGGTGGTCTGATGGATTTTTGAGCTTTTAATGCGACGCGCCATACGCACGTGTCTGGTTCTGGTCGAGCGGTGTGCCACCCTTACTTGCCATCCGCAGATCCTCACTTACGGTGGCCGGAGATCGTCGCGTGATTCTAATGGCCTTGGGTGCCAAAATCAATTTTAATTTTAGCCACTTATAGTTATGTTACTGTACTGTTACAAGTAAAGGTACAATAAATCAACGGAACAAATTATATTGCTTCTCGAACTGATCTCTTATTCAGTAGTTGTAGTCAATAACATTAGATATGTCGACAGTAAAAGCAAGTATTTTATTGTTGTTATCCTACTCAAACTACAAACAAAAACTAATCACGATCCCCAAAAACAAAAAGAAAAACGATTTAACAACAAAAAAAACATTTTTTTATAAAGTAATAACTTGGTAGTCAAAGCATGCTCAGTGTTCTACTCGCCCCAATTTAGGGACCGATGGCGCAGTGCCAAGAGAATCGCATTGTCTCCACTTCGCTACCCTGAACGCGAACAAACACAACGTGAGCGGACGAAATTGAATAAAACATTGGTTTGGCAACAACCTTTCGGAAAATCGAAAAATACGAAGTATTGAATATCTAGAAGAAATTCAAGCAAATGCTGAGAACAATTTTGCTGTCCAAGAATATTTTGTTTCGTGATTCAAGATAAAGCACACTCAATGTATCTAAAACAAACTAGATGAATGGAACTATAGTCCTTTTGGGAATAACAATACGTGCTAGGATACTATATCAGTAATCTGGATAGAAAACCGATTTGCTTATACAACAATATTTGTATTGTCTGAGATATTGTTCGGTAAATAAACCATTCTAACTAACAAACAAACAAACTACATTATATTATACCATTTGAAACAATAGCATAAATACCTACATTCCTACCTACAAAATTGATTGACTTAGTCAGCAAACGTTGAAAGGTTTTTAAAACATAAACAATTCACAAAATTTCGGTACTGTTTACTGATAATTTAAACACAGAAGTAACATTCAAAATCAAATTTGTGGGCCTTACAACCAACCAAACAAAGAAAGTAACTATTAAATATTATTAGCAATAGTAACAAGTCAATAAGTTGTAATTATAGTAACTATCTAGCAGTAAGAGTCTGACACACCCTCCCGCCTCACCCAGGCGGGAGCAGTCATTCGATGATTATCCCTCCTTAAAAAAAGGCATCTTCTAAAGGGCTACGTTTTAAGTAATAGAGGACTATGACATTAAGAAAATTTAAGTGCAAGAAGCTTTAACAACTAGCTTCTGCCTTCGCGACTTTTAATGCGGAATCCCGTATTTTCCCGTTCCCGTAGGATTATCGGGAAATCCTAGATTAAAAGTATCGTTTGTTCATCTTCTGGTTCTAAGCTACCCACCCACCAATTTTCAACCAAATCGAATTAGCTGTTTTTGAGTTGTAAATAGTTTAACTAACTCGGCTTTCTTTTAAATATATATAGACTAGTTTTTGCCCTACTAGCTAAACTAAATATAGACTAGCTTTTGCCCGCGACTTCGTACGCGCAATCCCGTTTTTTTCCCGTTTTCATGAATGATTTTCGTTAAAAGTAAAACAAAAAGTATCGGATAAAAGTATCTTATGTCCGTCTTCTGGTTCTAAGCTACCTTTCCACCAATTTTCATGCAAATTGATTTAGCCCTTCTTCAGTTATAAATAGTTTAACTAACACAACTTTCTTTAATATAATTATAGAAATATAGATAAGGTTAAAAAATATAATTACCTTTCGTTTCGATCGTATCGAGTCAACCTGCCGCTGCGTCAGTTCACCGATAGACCCTGAACCCCATAGAACCTTTCCCATGGCTGAGTAGAAGAATGTCATCCCCAGCATTGGAATAGCATACGTCACTACGAAGAACAATACTTGGTACCTGTGTGCAAATAAAAACAATATAGTTTAACTAAGATCTACTTTCTCATATAACATAACATAACATTACGCCTTTTATCCCCGAAGGGATAGGCAAAGGTGCACATTACGGCACTTAATACCACTATACAATGTAACACTCACTTTTCACTATTTATGTTATGAGTCCCATGTAATAAAGGTAAGCCAATTGCCATATACCGGGTTCCAGACTCCGTGCTACTACTGAAATTTTTACAAACCCAGTAATATTTTTCCCGACCCGGGAATCGAACATGAGACCCCTTGCCGCCGGGCAAGGGGTCTCATGTCAGTCGCACTTGCGACACCTGAGCCAATGAGGCAGTCTACTTTCTACAATTAATTAAGTTTGGTATCTATTTATTTTCGTAAACCTCAATAGTTTAATTAAGGGTGAGTTAACGTATGTTATGCTATTTTATAACTGACATTTGATAACTGATGAGCATATGTCCCTTAAATAGCAAGATACGCTCTAATACTGAAAGGCTATTCAATTTTAGGCTTTTGCCATCTCTGTCATTTTACAAAATTATTGTAGAGACAGAACTATATTTAAGGGCGACTCAAAACCGAATGGCGGTTGAGTATTTGAGCATTACAAGGCGTCCTATTGAGCATGCTCAAAAAATTTCAAAATTCGAACGCCTGTCGTCATTCATTCATAAGCATGGCCGAAATGACCATGCCAGTTTTGAGCAAAATTCCGACACATCATCAATCATCATCAACAGCCTATAAATGCCCATTGCTGAGCAAAGCCTCTTCTCACACGGAGAAGGTTTGAGCATTAATCACCACGCTTGCTCAATGCGGGTTGGCGATTTCAAACTTATAATTAGAAATTATAAGTCCAGGTTTCCTCACGATGTTTTTCCTTCACCGTTTGTCAGTGGTGTCTAAATAATCTTAGAAGGTACATATAACTCGGAAAAAGTCACATTGGTACTTGCCGTTGGTAGGTTTCAAACCCTCATGCATGAGAAGTGGGCGTCTTAAACCTCCGGGCCACCACGACATTGACAGTGTCAGACTCTTACTGACTAAAAACCACCACGTTCCTTCGACTATGAGCCGGAGCCTAAGTGACAAGTGTTCGATTGGAGTACCAATTAAGGTGAATGGTAGAAAACATTATTTCATTCATTATTATACATTAAACATACTAAAAAATAGACCGCTTACTAAATGAGTAAAATTAATAGTCAATTTTGTTATTAAATTACTTGAAAGCTCTTTGTTTTTAGTTGCATTAAGAGGAGGTCATTTAACATCAAAGGCTTTTTGCTATCGAAGTCAAATTATATTCACTTAACAGCCAAATTGGGACGTCATCGTCAGTTGAACGAAGGGGTAAGCAGTGGTGCACATTATGTCACTGTACAATGTAACACCCACTTTTCACTATTTATGTGATGGGTCCCATGTAATAGGGGGGAGCCTATTGCCATATACCGAGCACAATTTCAGACTCCGTGCTACTACTGAGATTTGTTTAAACCTAGTAATACTTTGCCCGACCCGGGAATCGAACCCGAGACCCCTTGCCCGACAGTCGCACTTGCGACCACTTGGCCAGCGAGGCAGTCTATAAATCTATAAATATATAATAAAATAAATAAATAATAAATTATTCAGGAACTGCAGAAAAATTACAATTGCCCGTGGTATAAGTATAATGGTAAAAGGCTCACCCCTGTTACCTACATGTAAAGCATAACATAACAATACTTACAAGGAGTAAAAGACATGATGTTGTTTTTTTTTTTCATAAAAAGTGTTTACCCATTCCCCAACAAATAGGTTTGTTTGTTTTTGTTAAAATAATGTTTGTTTTGTATACGTGTCTAATATTAGTTTTTAAAAAACGTAGGCATTACATAGAAACGCTTGACCTCATTTTTATCCACTGTTTGGAGAATAATTCATCTATCTACATAGATATTTTTTTATAAAATTTTCATATTATTCATCACAAAAAATGATATTTTCATTCATATAACGTGGTACACAAAGTCAAAGGGTTAATTTCACATTCATCGTGTACAGGCTGTTCATTTTTCAGCAAAAATTTCATTGAATTTATCAAAGGTCAGTTTCAAAGTACAACAATGACTTTCAGTAATGATTTGTCTGGTAAAGTGTAAAAACTTTTTAGAAAGTAATTGGTGAAACTAAGGTTAAGTTTATTGAACTTTGGTAAGAAACCAGAAAAGTTTTCGAACTTGAAATTTACCAAAGATTGTTGAAAGTCAATGAACGCTGCGAAAATCCTATTAAGCACCCTTTGAAATGGATTTTAATACTTTTCCTTCTTTTTTTAATTACTTTTATCCTAGTGCCTACACCGGCTGACTCCAGAGGGTATTTTAAAAAGTGAGAATTTTCCATGGATTCAAAACTATAATTCCTTTTACGACTGTACATTTTAAATTTAAAAGGACTTGAGTCCAAGTTAAAAAATAGTTTTGATGAAACAAACACCAACAGTAAGTACCTCAATGAGTTTCTAAGTTGTCTTAACAGAAGCCATTTCAAATTCTGAACCAACGTCATGTCACGTGTCAAACTTAGGTTTCATGCTAACTTACACTTCTTCAAGAACTAATCCAAGAACAATTTCTATTCTAAATGATGAATAAGATTAGATATCTAACATTTAACATGAAATGAAACAATCCAAGTCAAAACACACAGCAAAACTAGCTTTAAAACCATTCAACAAAGTTTATTTTTGATCAAACAAAACTTTTATAAATATTCCCGACGCCTGTCAAAACTATTTCTGATACCCAATGCACTAGAACAACGGCGATCTGACAGTCTATCGTTATTTTTAAGTGCAACAAAAATAAACATACATCGAAGTTGCAACAGGAACGTGACTCAAAAATAACTACATCGGCAAGTCACACGGTCACATAGAATTCAATTTTATTGAATGCTTCCAGTTCAATTTGTAATATTGAAAGTATTTTATGTCTATTATAAATTGGTTCTGACTGACTGGACTGTCGTTGGCCGAGTGGTCGCAAGAGCGACTGCCGGGCAAGAGGTCTCGGGTTCGATTCCCGGGTCGGGCAAAAGTATTACTGGGTTTGTAAAAAAAATCTCAGTAGTAGCACGGAGTCTGGAAATGTGCCCGGTATATGGCAATAGGCTCACCCTCCTTACTTGGGATTCATAACATAAATAGTGAAAAGTGGGTGTTACTTCTGTGTGCGCCTCTGCCTACCGCTTCGGGGATAAAAGGCGTGATGTTATGTTATTATGTTATGTTATAAATTGGTTATAAGTGTCAGTTGGATAAAAGACCTTAAGCTATATTTCCAAGTAGGTTAAAACGTATTAACCGCTGGAATGCACCGATATTAGACACACTAGAAAATAAGTACATTGTGTCTCGCGTGCATCTACGTTGAGACACACGACGGGTTAACAGGCTATAATTTTCAAAAATCTCGACAAATAAAGGCATTACAATCTCCCGACTCCACCACAACTCCTACATGTGGCTCATAACGCCTCTAGCCAAATAATAATTTTACCTAAAACATCTTAGTCTTAGAGAAATAGCTATTAGTTCGACTTGAAGCAGTCTCTGTACCATTTTGAGGAAAACATCAATTTCACTTCAACTACGTAGGTAGTTTGAAAGTCATTATATCTAAACGTCTGTCTGACCTCTTATTAACAACGTAATCTATGATGTTTGGAACTGTACGGATAGGAACTCAAAGGTCACCTTCGAAATTCTGGATTGTCTTTCTACAGTAATTTAAGTTCGACATGATGGAGATAAATCTGTTCCTACATCATTATCACCTGTATGTAATTACCATACTTCGTGCAAATAAACATTCTTATTCTTCTTCTACAATAGGGTAGATGCCTAATTTTTATATTAATGTCCGGCTGGTAGATTATTTTAAATCATTAGACACGTATTTTTTATTTTCTTACAGAAACGAATACTTTCGACGATATATTGATTTGAAATGTCGCGTGACGTTCATTTTATACGTAGAAATGACGTTTTAGTACCCACTCCTAAACTTTGATTCGTTTTATCTAAGTATTGTTTTATTATACGACAAAATAAAAAAATTCGTGTCTAATATTTTTTAATTACCTAATTTACGGACTAATTAAATTTTTAATTTTCATACCCTGTCTTCATCCTAATTGAAATACATGACCTAAAAAATACTGGACTAAATAAAATTACTCGTCGTACACAGTTACGAACTGTATATATAGTATATTCGTTTAAATTATATCAAACACAATGCTACCTAGACGTATAAACACTTTTCCAATACCAAATTCTTCGCAAAAAAAAAATTATAACAATTTTAAACACAAATATTTTTTAATAAGTCACCATCAACTCACAGTACAGAATTCTACATACACTTAATATTGAAAGGTACAACAATATTGAATTTCACAAAGGGCCCAATAGTCCATTCACGAGTTAATGCTTGTCAAAATAAATAAAAGCCACTGTCGTTAGTAAACTAATGATATGCAGTAAAATTGATACCGAGTGAATTCACTCGTGTATTTACAGCTTAAACAATAGGGTTATTAAACTTTTGACATTGTGGCAGTACACAAAAATTGAATGTAAATATGACTTTCAAGAGTCACTTGGTCACGATAATCTAGTTCGACAAACTATTATTTTAAAATGTTTTATTAGCACCAAGATGGAGTCACTTTCCTATTTCATAAAATTCAGACCAAACGCGTCTACCTTATGCCATTTGTACCTGCTACTACAACTTCACGAATAATGAAGATAAAAACGACGTTATGTTATGTTTTAAATTTTACGTCACTGTTTTCGTAAATACATGTATAAAAAAATCTGATTTGCTTCTCTAAGTTCAGCACACGAGTAAGCTGCAATGTAACCGAATTCATGCATAAATTCTTATTGACCCACGCCAAATTTTTATACTAAGTCTAATTTATTCCGTGGACTGCGGAAGCGAAACGCTGTAGTCGCCTTGGGAAATTCGAGTAGGAAGTAAAGCGTAGGAGTTGATGGGATGATAAGGGTCTCATCTCCATGAGAATTGGTGTGAAAAACTACACGATCGTGAGGTGCTAGAATATACCAAGAACCATCCCCTTAAGGGGAATAGCGTGATGTGAATAGTAATAATTTCAATTAGAATATATATTCACACTTCGATCTGATGGTGAACCTTTTCTGTGTAAGATGCATCAATGCCCGGGTCCAGTTAACTTCAAGGTATCTACTAAAGTAAATGCTTATCTTACATTGCTTTTAGGGTAGAGGTGCACATGTCTAATATGGTGCAATTCCGAATTCAGAGCCGTCCTTTGACTCTGGTGTTGCGCTACGGTGAACAATTAGCATCAGATAGCCGATAGCTTTGTTACTACAGATCTCTCATCACACTAATATTATAAATATGAAAGTTCCTTTGTTTAGATATTTGGATTTTTGTTAATCAATCGCGCTGAAAATACAGAACGCATTTTGATGAAATTTGGTATACAGGCAGGGTATGGGCTGACTTAGGTGATAGGATTTTTATCCCGATTAAATACTTCCATGGGATAAAACCGGAATCATATTCTACGCGGACGAAGTCGCAAGCAACAGCTAGGAAATACATAATTTAATAAAGTCACCAAACATTTCACTTCCAAGCGATAACGCAATCTATGTAATAGAAAATAGAAGCTTATTTGCTACATAACAGTTTGTCATAGTCAAAAGGGTTGTTAGTCTTTGTGTAGTCTAGAATGAGAATGCTAAACAGTGGTATAGAGGCTTTTGTTTATTCAACTGAGTTATATAACCCTTCGTTTTGTGTTTGACATATTCTAATCTAGTCCCTTAGATCTTGTATAAGTTTGATCAATATATTTGTTTGTAGATAGAATATTAAGTAAGTTAAACTAGTTCTGATTAGCACAAACATACTCTGTATTGATAGACTCATGTACTGTCCCGAGGGGGCAGAACGAAATCTTTGATCACATTCATTATAATGCGGCTAAGCTTGAGGCACTGGTTATAATCAATAGGCCAATATATGTACAGTAGAGGACAGAACCGCCTGATCATTTTCAAATTTTAGTCAGTAAGTCAGTAAGAGTCTGACGCTCCCTTCCGCCTCACCCAGGCGGGTGCAGACTTTCGTAGATTTTCCCCCCTTAAAAAAAAAAACCGCATAAATGTCTTAACGTCACGTTACGTCCATATGTGTTTGAAGTTGTCCGGCTACCTGCACCAGCGCTAGACCCTCCCTCTACCTTGTTATATTCGACAATTCAAGGTCACGAGGCTAAAAAGCGGAACTGATCATGTGCAATTAAATATCAACTTAGTGGTGACCAGGCGGACGTGCCCTCTATTGTACATAATATTTAAATCTGTAGGTAATAAAATGCAACTCCAAAAAGCTTTTGATTAAATCCAAAAATTCTTTCCTTGACCCAAGAGAATCTGTGCTCTTTTACGTGACCAGCATTGTTACATACCTATTTATAATTATTTAATTAAATAATATTATTATGCTTTAAATAACTTTATAATATCCGGTCTGTATCTAATTGTTTGTGTTCTTGTATTGATATTTTGTAACGATATAAGTAGTGTCTACTAACATTAGTTTTTTTTTAAGTTAAATGTTACTAATAAGAGTATGGATATGGTCTCAAATAAATGATTGTATTATTGTTAACAATTCCTAAAGCAAATAGACAGTAAACTTGTCCCTAAGATTCCAGAACAGATAAGTATACAGTAGCTTACTAATACATATGCATACTTGGATAATCTTACATGATAACAGAACATAATAGATCTAATATATCAGTATAAATTCAGATTATTACACCATGGAAACTGTTGTAATTGTAGAAGACAATATTATGTTTGTATATCATTGTACGTATAATAATATGTCTATGTTAATAAAAGGTGTTACGTAAGACCTTTGTTTATGGGAACTATAACAAGGATTTCGTAGAAGATGTCCTTGTTCTTATATATAATCTTATACTATTATACTATTATAAAAGCGGAAGAGTTTATTTGTTTGTTTGTTTGAACGCGCTAATCTCCGTAACTACAAGTCTGATTTGGATAATTCTTTTTGTGTTGGATAGCGCATTTATCGAGGATGGCTATAGGCTATAAACTATCACGGTACGACCAATAGGAGCTGAGCAGAGCGTGTGAAACCGCGCGGAAGTAGCTAGTAAATAATAAACTTCCTGATTATTCGTTTTTGGGTTAATCAAAATGATTGTTTATTTATTTATTTAATTAGGTATACCAACAGCTTCTATATACGTAGTATTAAGAGATAATAAAGGTTACAATAGGTATTGGGCTTATACAGTCGCCAATTATAGGTTAACCAACTTTACAATGGTTATGAATGTAGAGGTAATAACATATTCTTTTACAATACATTATTAGAAGTGCAAATGATATTAACAACTGTGACATGTGTCGTCTGTTTCACAATCAAATGAACTGCATGGAGCAGGATACCCAAAAATTAAAAAAAAAATATGCTTGTTGTTGTTGTTTTAAATTGCAAACCCTAAACTATATAAAACTAGCTTCTGCCCGCGACTTCGTACGCGTAATCCCATTATTTCCCGTCCCCGTTCGTGATTTTCGGTAAAAAGTAAAATAAAAATTTTAGTTAAAAAGTATCCTATGTCGGTCTCCTGGCTCTGAGCTACCTCCCTACCAATTTTCAGCCAAATCTATTCTGCCACTCTTGAGTTATAAGTGGTGTAACTAACATGACTTTCTTTTATATATAGATATAAGACAATAAATACAACTGATAAAAGAAATCCAATATATACCAAACTTTGATCTCCTTAGATTTTTCTCCCACAACATCGTATGTATTTCTAACAAGCATCCTAAGTAAGAAACTATCATAACACTAAGAAATGACCCTGAACTTCATACAGAAGGTCAAAGCTCCAGGAAACGTCAAACTTTCTTGACAAACGGGTTATTGGGAGTCGTTACGTCTTTGGCTTGACAGGGTAATTGGGAAACTAACATTTTCCTTTGAAGTCTTGTCTACGCATCCATATGCGTAGTGTGAATAGTATAAATGTTCTTTTCTCTACTGTTTTCTGTTATATTTTCAGGATAACAAGAATAATAATTATAATTAATTGTTTTTTTTAAAGGGGGAAATCATAGAATGACTTCTCCTGCCTGGGTTAGGCGGAAGGGAGTGTCAGACTCTGACTGACTAAAAACCACCCCGTTCCTACTCCTGCCATTTGAGCCGGAGCCCCGGCAACCCGTTAAGTCCTCCGCGGCATGAATAATTGCCTACGGCATTAAGTTCACCTAATGTACAGTTTGTGCATGAAGCATTTTATTAAATAAATAAAAAAATAATAATTCTTGTATAAACTACGACAAATAAAATTGAATTCATTAATTACCCTCTTTTTCCAACTCGATTAATTAATAGACTAAAACATTATCCTAAGTGTAACAATAACAATGACGTGGCTCGGAGGTATGTCGTGGTGGCCCGGAGGTTTAAGACGCACGCTTCTCATGAATGAGGGTGCCGGTTCGAAATCTACCAACGGCTAGTACTAATGTGACTTTTTCCGGGTTATATGTACTTTCTAAGATTATTTAGACACCACTGACAAACGGTGAACAAAAACATCGTGAGGAAACTTGGACTTATAATTTCTAATTATAAGTTTCGCCAACCCGCATTGAGCAAGCGTGGTGATTAATGCTCAAACCTTCTCCGTGTGAGAAGAGGCTTTGCTCAGCAGTGGGCATTTATAGGCATTTTACTGAAACATACATACATACAGGCTAAACTGAGAACCTTCTTCTTTTTTTGAAGTCAGTTAAATAGTTGCAGTCGATGCTAAAGCACGCGCCGCTTTGCATCGCTTGCGTCTGCGATGAGCAGGAAAAACAATCATGCTATACGGGTTGAACGGGGGCAGCCACGTTGGCGTGACTTGCCGACTGAGTCCAACGAGCGTCTTATGCATTGTTGTGACCATGATATAGTATCCAGGTTCCAAAAGCGTGACTGGTTAAAATTGATTAAGATAGAATTAAAAACCCTCATTATTAAGGGTCTTTCAATGCAATCACCATCATCACAATACTTCAACTGTTAAACAAAAGGCTCCCAAGTACTATTAAATTAAAGAAAGGATTACATTGTTACAACTTCTCTCATTTCACTCTAATATGTAATTCAACTAATAAACACACAGATCTCAAAAGATCATACTATATATAATGGACACATACATTTGAAAAAGTGTAAACAACAGAATATACTCACACAAAATCCATATATGACACATCAGGTAATCCGTCAGGCCAGGACAGGAGGCATGCAGTTTTGAGGGTACCCTTTGACCTGCGAAAAGAGATAATCCAACTTAGTAATTAACTTCCACCTCTGTACCATACCGTCGGATTAGTAATTACGCTACCTACTGCTAGATAGGATAGTGTAGCCGGATTGACGATATTGCTTGGTGTTTTTACATAACACGACACCTTTTATCCCCGAAGGGATAGGCAGAGGTGTACATTATGACACTGTACAATGTAACATCCACTATTCACTATTTATATTATGAGTGTCATGTACCTAATAGGGGGTGAGCCTATTGCTATATACCGGGCATATTTCCAGACTCCGTGCTACTACTGAGAATTTTTTTTAAAACCCAGTAATACTTTGCCCGACCCGGGAGTCGAACCCGAGACCCCTTGCCCGGCAGTCGCACTTGCGACCACTCGGCCAATGAGGCTTGGTGTTTTTCTTTCATTATAAAAGTTTAACTAATGTGTGTGAAATTGTTTATTTTGTCTTAGTTCGACGTCGTGACAGAGGTTTCATGGTATGATTTTTATGTTTTGGTTACGAGCGTTGCGGGAAAACCGCGGATAAGAGCTAGTTCTCAATTAACTGCAAGGAGTTTAGAAAGTTCCGATTGCAAATTATGCATAACTAATATGAGTCATTAGGCGGGAGAAGTCTTGTGATGATTCCACCCCTTGAAAAAAACCCGTAGAATTAAGGTAACACATTTAACAAATACGGCTTCAGCACGACTCCAGCACGGATCTGGCACGGATCCGGCAAGGTCTTTATTTATCACTTTGGAAACAGATCCAAAAATGTTGTAAGCGCGCTGTCAGCGGCCGATCGGCTTTTTATATTAACGTTACAAAATATTTCATATGCCATAAGATGTAATGTTTAAGTTCAAATGGCAAGTTAATTGCTGAGTTGGAGCCGTGCCGTAGCTGTGACGGTTAACTGTGCTATATAACCTTTATACATCTATTCACCCATTATGTAATTTGCAAAAACATAAATAATGTTACTTTTGAACTAATGACTGCCTCGTTGTCCAAGTGGTCACAAGTGCGACTGCTGGGCAAGGGGTCTCGGGTTCGATTCCCGGGTCGGGTAAAGTATTACTGGGTTTTTAAAAATCTCAGTAGTAGCACGGAGTCTGGAAATGTGCCCGGTATATGGCAATAGGCTCACCCCCTATTACATGGGACCCATAACATAAATAGTGAAAAGTGGGTGTTACATTGTACAGTGGCATTAAGTGGCATAATGTGCACAATCCCTTCAGGGATAAATAGGCGTGATGTTATGTTATGAAATGATTTTTTGAAAAAAATACATTTACTTTCAACCTTTTGAACAGTATAATCACTGTTAACACAAATGAAAAATAAAATACATATTCGAAAGTCATTAAGAAGTTTTATTACATTTTTATTAAGCTCAACTATTGATTACTACTCAATTATATTGTTACGGTCGAATACTGAAAGGTTACTCGAGTTTAGGTCGTACTTAAATATCGTGCTATCTCTGTCATTTTACACAGACTTTGAAGAGACAGGACTATACTTTAGCACGACATAAATTTTAGTAGTGTTTCAGTATTCGGGCGTTAGACATCTATTTTTAATGTGAAAACTTTTTATTAACAACTAGCTTCTGCCCGCGACTTCGTACGCGTAATCCCATTTTTTCCCGTCCCCGTTCGTGATTTTCGGTAAAAAGTAAAAAAAAAGTATTGGTTAAAAAGTATCCTACGTCGGTCTCCTGGCTCTACCTCTAAGCTACCTCTCTACCAATTTTCAGCCAAATCTATTCTGCCGTTCTTGAGTTATAAGTGGTGTAACTAACACGACTTTCTTTTATATATATATAGATTTACCTTTGTGGTCAGTATTTAATTTATTTTTTAACTAAACTGTTCTTACTCAAACACTCTCAATTATCAATTTGTGACATTTATTATATAATCAAAGCTTTTACTGCGGTCATACTATTCATTGTGGTTTCATTGTTTTAATGATATAATCTCCAATTTCACATTTGTATTTAGTATTTTATTAATATTCCTAATACTGTTGACTTATAAAATTGTTAATAATATTGTACAGATAATTTTGTACGTATTTAAATAAAGAGTTGTATCTACACGAATTTAACCTAAAAAGAGAGAATAGTCCGTCCGTAAGAAAAGAGAGGGTTATTCTGCAAGATATACAATTTAAGTAGCGTATATGAATATTTACTGTCTCGTTGACCGAGTGGTCACGAGTACGACTGCCTGGGAAAGAGGTATCGGGTTCGAATCCCAGGTAGGGCAAAGTATATCTGGGTTATTTAAAAAAAATCTCAATAGTAGCACGGAGTCTGGAATTGTGCCTGGTTTATGGCAATAAGCTCACCCCCTATAAACATACACATAGTAAAGAAAGAAAGAAAGAAAGAAATCATTTATTTGCTAATAATGTAGGTATACATATAAGTTGGAATAAAGTTAATTGACCCAGTACATTTTACCTTTCGGCATGCAAATTAAATTATAATGCGATCTGAATGTCGTCAAATAGATAACTAGGTATACAGTCAAAATTTTAGAATAATTGAAAAAATAAATAAATGCTAAATTGCTACGATCAAATATAAGCTATACAAAAAGAAATAATTAAATATGATGCAATGTCAACGTGGGTACTTAGTCCAAAATATAATGTTACAAAGTTTATGTCAAGAAATGTCAAATGTTACAATTAACAATAAATTAAGTTATGTCGACGATTATCAAATAACGAAATAATATCAAACTAACGAAGTATCTTAATTGAAGTCATAATGTAATGCCATAAAAGTCACTAACGCAATCAATACATAAGTGTTTCAATCTGAGCAAGACATATTACAGTGTTTCCCAAAGTTTTGCTACTTATTATTATTAAAACGTACAATTTTCCTTTAGAGTTCTGTCGTTTAAAAACTCTTTGATTGTGTAGTAACACTTAGTCAGTAGCAATGATGTTAATTGGTTTTTAAATTTATTTAGAGGTATGTCTTTTAAGTTTTCCGGGAGTTTGTTATATACCAGCGGTCCCATGTGAAAGATGCTATTTTTCAGCAAGGCTGTTTTGTGACCACCTGTGCATAATTGGCTTCTATACTGGGTCCTTATTGGTATTATACGTTGTCTCGTGTCAGCCATTGAAGTGAATAAGCATCTGTTTAATTTCACGAATAGAGCCACTTCTAATATGTACAGACAAGGTAGTGTCAAAATTTTCAAGGATTGAAACAAAGGTTGACAACTTTCAGTTTGTGTAAGACCTGTCATTGATCGGAGTGAAAAGTGTGTCCGCCTTTTTACCCCAAATTTTGTAGGCAGAGCACATTACGGCACTTAGTGCCACTGTACCTACAATGTAACATTTTTGTCGTTTTAATATAGTATGCCTACAGATCTTTTTTTAAATACTGTTGACCTATTTCAAAACTGCCTACATTTGAAATATCACCAAACCTAATCAAAAGTGGTTGAAAATAATAAAAAAATTAACTAAACCCTCAATTTTTGTTGTATTCCATGCTTTTTTTTTTACTTTTTCTACCACGAGTTTTTTTCGAAGTAGGTATTACGAATGTGAAAATACGAAGTGCAACGAACAAAAAAATACAGGGCAGCAAACGTGCTGACTCGAACGTGACAGAAAGCCAACTTTAAAAAAACGGCGAATAGACTGGGGGAAATCATCGAATGGCTGCTCCCGCCTGGGTGAGGCGGGAGGGAGTGTCAGACTCTTACTGACTAAAAACCACCCCGTTCCATCTCCTGCACGTCGAGCCGGAGCCCCGGTTACCCGTTAGGTTCTCCGCGACTATGGCGAATAGACTAGGTTTTATTTTAGAGTTGAATTTGAACAAAAAGCTTAGGTATTTGTATTTTTTGTTTTCTTAGAAGAGAATTACTTAAGAATTTAACAAAACAGTAAGTGTAAAAACCGTGGTTTTCTTGCAAGTGATTTAGTTTGAGAAAGCCACGGATTTAATATTGTAACTAACCTTTTTCTAATTTCAAAGGCAGAACAGTGGTACTATTGGCTATGTGCAAAGCTAGTAGTGGCGGACAGATAACGACCACAGCGCACAACACGGCAGAAATTGGAAACAAATGCGGATGATACAAACCCGGTTTTTATTATTATATTCATTTTATAGTAAAACTATTGAATAAATCGGATTTAAATAAAGTCAATAATACTATTTTAATCTTTTGTTTTATTTATATTTGCAAAAAAAATATAATGTTTACATTTACAGCTTCCGCAAATGTTGCCACCGTCGCGCACATAGCCAATACAGAAATAATAAACTGAAGTATAAAGAAATTTAAATAAATCCTGGAATCACACTAATATTACAAATGTGAAAATTTCTTTGTTTGAAGGTATGTCCGTCAATCACGCTTAAACTACAGAACGGATTTTGATGAAATTTGGTATAGGTACAGATAAAACAGGATTCTACGCGGATGAAGTCGCGGGCAACAGATAGTATATAACAAAACTTCTATTATATAACTTAACTTCTTGTATCTAAAAAAACTTAAAGAAATTTCAATAAAGTTAAATATCTTTTGCAAAATATTAGAGTAAGTTGATATTTGGATTTAGCAGAACTGATTTTTTTTAATGTAAACCACTTTGAATGTTCTCATATTTACAAGTCAATGGCAGACGTCGCTCTTTATTCAATAACTAGAATTATTGTAATTCGTTTTTCATGGAACTTTGATATAAGAGTTATTTTAGTATTTTTAGCTTATAAACATCGACTTTGAGGTTAAATATCAAATTGTTATACATGTGTACATACATACATATTCGTTAATAATAATGACGTGGTTGTCATGTCAAAACATCTTGTGTTTCATATTAAAATTAGGGTTTCGTAAAAAAACCAACCAACCAAAATTAATAAACATCTAGAATAGTGTTCTAAACAAATTAAATAATCTCTTATTTTTTTAATTCCTCGGTATGTTTTATTTGTGCTTACTTCTTAATCCCTTATTATAGAAAATCCACAACATTTGTGCATACAAAAGTAGTCTTTAAACATCGGCAATAAAGCCTATAATGGAGTAAGGGCTCGTACATAAAACTGCGAGTCGATGCGATGCGAATTCAAAACGCAAAAAATTACGATGCAAATTGCTGCGATGCGATTTCGGGCAACAAGGCGTCTCCCAGGGTGACCATTCCTTCGACTACCGTCAACAGTACTAAACGTATTTTAAATTAAAAATTAGGTCGTGACATGGATCGTAAAAAGAAGTGTGCACTTCAGTTGTTGCTTAGGAGATACAAGAAAGAGAAACAAAGAAGATTTTAGAAAGATAAGATTTTAATGCGCAATGCGAATCAATTCGCAAGTTCTTGCGATGCGTAGAAGGAGCTCGCAGTTTTGTGTACAAGCCCTAACTAGAGAGGTGTTATCGGTGACCACTTGGGAACTGGGCAAATATATGACAGTAGATTCACCTCTGTCATATAATTTAAGGGACTAACAGCATAACTGGTAAAAGTTATGACTAATTTAAATGTGCATCTCTGCTACTACTTCGGCCATTAAGTTGGTATAACGTTATGTTGACGTTAAATAAAATTAAAAACAAACAATAAAAACAACAACAAAAAAGAATGTAAAATAAATAATAACAAAAACAAAAAGGTGGCAACATGCCCATGACGAAAGGGTTGCCAACTCAGTATCAGCTGGGCATAGTAAGTATCCAACACTGGTTTTCAATTTCCTTTCTTTGACCTTGCAATATCTTACCTATATTCTTTCGTGGTTGAGTACAATAGGCAGGGTATAGCCAGCAGCATGCCACTGATCCAAATGCAGGCGATCATGACGAGGGAGCACGTCTTCGACATCCTTGGCCGCATCGGTCGTACGATGGCTTGATATCTAAACAAAGAGAAAGGAATTTACGGAACTGATTACACACTAACATCACATCAACAGCCTATATTTTTTTTAAAACACGTACGTATGTATAACTTATTATGAACTCACAGAATAAAGAAATACAGGATATATTCCTACGCAAGTGCTGCTAGGATATTTTTTAACTGACAATGAAAACCTCCTAAGTGAACTCGATCGCATTCTCGTCCGGGATTGGTCAAGATTATTTTCACATCCAATGGGTTTGGCTCTCGAATTGAAAGTTACAAAATAACTTAACAGATTTTTTTTTTATTTAAGTGATCTTAGTTTTAACTGGTTGTCAATGCATCAATTACCATTTATTAATACTAATACTGGCAGTAATATCATTCATTTTAAAATAGAAAGTAAATTGAATTCAATAGAAATTATGATACTTTTTTTAGCCTAGCTGATTAGTTTATTAACAAATAATATAAAAAGTATTTTTACGGTCGTTTGTTACAGCTGTAAAACAAACTGTAGAACTATTGTTGATTTTAATTGGCGTAAAAATATTTTAAAGGATTTTGTATATTTTACAAATTTATTCATCAAATGCTTTTTATAGTTTTTTTTTTTAAACGGTGCCCTTCACTAGGGTTTTCTCCTGTGTCGTGAGTGCATTTACAAACATACAATATCACATACACATGACACCCAGACCCGAAACTATCTGTGGATCACACGAAGGGTTGTTCCGTGGGAGGGTCAAACCCGCGACACGTAGCGCATGCCAATGTTGCCTTATAAGACCTCGAATATAATTTCAAACTGTATATGGATCTTAAACCTCAATTTAATAAAAAACGAAACACACGGACTACCTCGGATCTATTACTTAACAATATAAAAATAGAAGTTTACCAAAATCAAATGAACGTCAAAATTCAAATCGGATAAAAGAAGATCCGTTCTTTACTGTGAGGCGATAAATCTTTGAAATCTAAGCCTCATTTCCAGACTCTAGACTTATTACGGTAGAACTTTTCTAATTGAATTCCTACGGAAGATTACTTCTCAGAAATATCTCCAACATAAAATACAGCAGATGGATTTAATAGACTAACGTATATTTTCTTTCAAGCTAGGTTTAACAGCAATAAGTAAGCCTAGACGAAATTATACGTTATATAGTATACTAGCTTTTACCCGCGGCTTCGCTCGCGTCACAAAAGGATAAAAAGTAGCCTATGTGACATATACCAATACACACAGCGCCATCTATACCAATAATTTCGTTTTCCCTTTAGAATATCAAATTTTTCCGGGATAAAAAGTACCCTATTATTTAATCCAGACTTATAACTTTACGTCTGCAAAAATTCAAAGCAATTGATTTGGTACGGCGCGAAAGTGGAACAAACAAACAAACTCACTTTCCAATTTATAATATTAGTAAGGATAACACGTACGATAGTTTAGTTCTGATATCCTTAGGTTTTAGGTTCTTTTTTATGGGATGAGCCGGTAAACGAGCAGACGGATCACCTGGTGGTAAGCAATCGGTGTCGCCCAATTTGATTTTTGATTTTGAGGTAATTGGGCCTCGGGTAACCTCACTCACACGACGAATCACAAAGCAAGCGTTGCTTCACGTTGGTTTTCTGTGAGGCCGTGGTATCACTCCGGTCGAGCCGGTCCATTCGTGCCGAAGCATGGCTCTCCCACACTTGAAAAAGGTGGTTTTGTAAGTACTGGGAAGTTACGTTAAGTGATTACTTTTTGCTGCCTTTCTTTTGTTTCTGGAATGGCTCAGACGGATGAGAGTTTTCGTGTGTGTTTTTTATTCGCAGTGCAGGCACAGTCCAAAGCCTGTTTTAGCCTTCATATTTTAGCCACCAGTGACCGGCTATAGCGATTTTATCTTCATCGGTTTCGTCGGTAGTCTATAATTGTGTATATAATAGATTAGAAAATCTGGAAGTCAATTTGTTATGTAAGTTTAATTTGAATTTGATATGTTAGGTCCCTATCCGAAATATAAAGTAGGTATTTTGTCCTCATACACATACGCAGTGTAACATCACATTTTATGTTTATTAACCTAGTTGCCCACCAGTAGGTACTTTCCAGAGTTAAACTAGATATATGAACATGAGACACTCGAAGAAAGTTTCTGAAATCTAATAATACGGGCAACACCGTCATGCTTGTTTGTTACTGTGACTGTAATGACCCGAGCTGATTTTGTTTCTGTAGACTGATAGTTGTCTGAGATTCAACCTTCTTTTGGAAAGATAACAGACTGCTCCTTGAAAGGAATGGTCAAAACCACAGCTATTCATTTTTATAATAATTATTATAGAATAAGCCGGTAAACGAGCAGACGGATCACCTAATTGTAAGCAATCGGCGTCGCTCATGGACTCCCGAGTCTATAAGTGCGTTACCGGCCTTTTGGGGATTAAGAATTTGACGATTGTTGGGAATTCGGGGATTGAGGAGATTGGAAAGGAGAGTGACTGGGTCTCCAGAAACTTCACTCATACGACGAAACACAACAGAAATGTGTTTCACATCGGTTTTCTGTAAGGCCGTGGTAACACTACTCGAGCCAGCCGATTCGTACCAAAGCATAGCTCTCTCACACTTAAAACGTATTGAACAAATAAAAAGGTATCACCATAAAGAAAACCAGAACTACAAAAAATTAGAGAAATTGTCGGGTTTGAAATATGTATACACAAAGAGAATTGCAAAACATTGTGTATAGAATTCGATACACCTGTCTGTATAGATATACCGAATATCAGTGCAAAAACATATTTAATATTTTGAATCAAAATTCTACGTTTCTATGGAACAATGAAATCTCTGCATTGGTTTTGCAATGGTTATGAAACAGAACTGTCAATTGCTTACAAAAAATATGCATTTAAGCCAAAACCAAAAAAGCAAAAAGTCCTATAATATTAGAGGAGGTCTATTCTCATTAGTAGAAGTGAATTCATTAGGTATTCTGACCATAAGTTCCACCAAACATTTAATTAAGACATAAATTTCAGTAGAACCAGCTTAAACTAAATGCATGCTAGCATCTACGACTCAAATAACAGAGACGGGACTAAATTAATTTGAAAAAATAATTCTTATTAAAAATATCATCGTATACAGCTATCTTGATTACAAATTTGCATTAATATTTTTCACAATTTAATTCTTATTTTAATTTTTTTTAATTAAAATTTTAGTTTCAAATTTTAGCAATTTATTCAAACCGTTCTATTTCAACACTATATATAATGTCATGATAAATTCACGACATTGTTTGGATTCTAAATCTTAGGTAAAATAAATAAGAGAAGAGACGGCGGCACTTAATTCATGAAACTCATTTTAAAAGATTAAAATTATTAAATGAAATATTACTTTGATGAAAGGATTAAAAATTAAGTAAATACAATGAATGTAATCATTTTTCTCTTTAAGCATTCTGGAGCAGCCAAGTCTGAAGTATTTTTAATTTAGTGTCTAGGAATATAATTGTTAGTCGCGACATAAAATAAATGGGTCTTGTGTTTAAGTTCCAAGCAGTACAAAGTATTATGATTGTTAGTATTGTATTATATTTATAACCTAAATTGTTGAATTACAAAAATAAGTCCTTTGTTCCGTTTATTTTTTTGAAAGAGAAAGGAAGAAAGAAATAATTTATTCGGCAGCATGACGTACCATATACACGAACAGAAAGTGCGGTAACGAATAATGAATAAAAAACAAAAAAAAGTATAGGTATAGAAAATAATAACAACAAAATAACATGGTGGCAACATGCCCATGCCAAAAGGACTTTTTTGTGTCGTCAAATGATTTCTCCGGCCTGGGTGTGAGGCGGGAGGGAGTGTCAGACTCTTACTGACTAAAAAATGACCACTGACTAACACTAAATTAACTGACAAAAAGCCAATTCAGTATGGGCTGGGCACAATTTAGTACTCAACACTAATTTTTAATTGTTTAGTTTGACTCTCTGCATGAACGGAATCTCTGAAACCACTAGACAGATTTTTGTTTTGTAACCAATAAATAATGTGCTTTTGAGGAAAAATTAAGTATGAAGTTTAAGTACACTTTGTTACAATTTCCATAGCACAGGCAAAGGTAAAAAGATATTTGTTAATAATTGGCACTTTAGTAATCAATATAATCAAGATGTGTTTCAACCCTGGCCCAGTTACAAACATTACCATATTTTGAAGTCAGTCAATGTCAAGCAAAATTTATTTTTATTTCGAGCTTCAAAACAACGATTTTGTATTCCAAACAGTCACGATTTGTGACTGAAAATCTGTACACTATACTTATATAGACGTGCATATCAATGAAGTAACGAGGGTGAACATCAAATAAAAATTCAAAAGATTTCCTTTCTATATCATGCAGATCCTCAAAGAAACTCCTCGTAATAACATCAAGATATTCCCCACCTTCGTAGTAAAAAATAAATAAAAAAAGCAATATATTTTCCTGCACAGATACACACATGAACACTCGAACCGAGTCAAAGTTTATTATTTTGAATTTCACAATTCTACACCAGGAATTGGCTACGGTTTTAATAAAAATATCACTGGCAGATTTAAAGGAAACTTTCTGTCACAATGTTTTTATCGTAAAATTTAAGAGAAAAAATTTGAATGAATGTCAAAATGCGTCCTAGCGATGATTTTGCATGTAGCCACTTACAAACTGGTTCATACATAAATGAAATAATGATGTATGCTTTAATGAGAATCGATATGGTTTTAATTGCAAATAACACAATATAATGTTTGTATCAAAAATGATATATTACTTTATGAAAGATATATTTAAGGAAATTACCAATTTTTTTGTAAATATCGACAAGCTACTGGCAAAAAATAGCTTGAAATTGGAAAAAACTTACTGGTCAACCACTTTTTTGATTGATTATGATATCGATTATGCCACATTGCTAGCCTATCAGCACAATTTCCCGAAATGCGATACTTATC